CTGGGCGCCCCCTTGCCCAAGCTAGCTGGAGGGCAGGTCCTGCCCCGCCCCTCTAATGGAGATAGGTTCCTCCTTCTGCCTGGGATTTACCAACCTTCTAGTGAAAAAGTTTTTCTTAATATCCAACCTAAACCTCCCCCACTGCAACTTGAGAGAGAACAGTCTAGATCCATCCTCTCTGGAACCCCCTTTCAGGTAGTTGAAAGCTATCAAAGCACTCTTCTCTTCTGCAGACTAAATAATCCCAATCCCAATCCCAAATACATGCTTGTATTTAATACTCCTGTGAAATATAACCAATAGAAGGGACGACACAGCATCAAAGTCTAATGTGAAAATGACCCTGTGTTTTCTTGTTTATGGACCCCCTGGTCTGTATATGCTGCATCTTTGTCTTCATATACACCTCTACCTCGATATAACGCTGTCCTCGGGAGCCAAAAAATCTTACCGCGTTATAGGTGAGACCGCGTTATAGTGAACTTGCTTTGATCCGCCGGAGTGCGCAGCCCCCCCCCCCCGAGCACTGCTTTACCGCGTTATATCCGAATTCATGTTATATCGGGTCGCGTTCTATCGGGGTAGAGGTATATAACAACGTGGGGCAGGTTGCGAAGTGTGAACACGGTAATCAGGAATGAATGACCAGTGAGTGGAAGGAGGAAACAGGCCCCACAGTTCCTCCTGCGGGGGCCCATTCAGCGCTGCAGGCTGGCTTTCCCAGTGCCTCACTTTGAAAGCGTCCCGGTGCCTCCTGGGAGATGTGGAGTGATACCAGGTGAGAAACAATTCTGCTGACTGTCCCCTTTTGGCTCGGAGGGATGGATCCGTGCCCACGGGACTTGCCGTGCTCAGCAGTTCATCTGCTGCTGCTTTATCTGCACTTGAAATCCCACCCCCTGGAGGTGGGGTCCCAGTCCTCTGTATGCCTCCAGTCCTAACATACCTTACGTGGGTGTATAAGAGCCAGAATCAGGTTTACAGCTTTGGGGCTGAGTCTCATTTCCACTCAGGCTCCTTTGCATTGTTTTGGTGGTGCCTTAAGCTGGGTGTATAGTGCAGTGGACCATCATGGAAATAACCTGCCCACAGAGGGCGTTCCTCACCTTCTGTCTATCATCTGGTAGCATTTCTTCAACCAGCCCAGGCCCGGCATCCTCCGACGTGGTGTGGCTCCATTCAGGTACACGATCATGTAGTCCTCGGCCACCAGCAGCTCCAAGCTACTGATCACGTACCTATCGGGTGGCAATCCAAAGCAGCCATGTGGTGGGATTGCTTCAATACATACAGCGGGGTTTCTGTGTTTATTTGTATGTACCCTCTCCCCCAGCCCCACCAGGCTGATCCTTCTTCAATCTATTCTGACTCTGTATTGTGACCCAGGTCACTGTCTTTGGCCACAAGAAGGTTCAAAGGAACCTTGTAACTGAAAAACTGACCCGTCTGGCTTTGTGGGTTTTGAGACTTGGAGATGTTTCAAATCCACCGTGAGGCACCTTTGCAGGAACCACGGAAGCGTGTGTTTAGGTGGGGCCTAGAGATCAGGAACGGTGGTCCATACATTTATGTCCATAAGTTCCTTTGCACAGCAGTAGCCTCTGATGGATAATTTCTACTCTGGGCATGCATTTATGGCTGGCCAGCATACGGGCGCACCTTAATGCTATATGTGAAGCTGCTGTGAGGTATCTGTGTTGGGTCCGAATTTGGACCATTGGGCATGTAGGAGGACACTGTGGACATCAGGTTATCCTGTAGCATTCAGCCAGATACACAGCAGCACCCTGTACAACTGGCATGGATTCCACCTTGCCTAGTTTCCCAGTTGAGATGCTCTATGTAAAGTCCCAGTGAGTGGCACAGATACTGAGGTTACCCGGGGACCTGGGACACTTCTTGCCTCCCCTCCATCATGCAACTTGGCGTAGTCACTTACAAGAAGAGGTTCTCCATGATGTAATGGTAATCAGCTAGATTGCTGTCTGGGAGATAGCAGGCAGCAAAGACAATGATAGCATTGAGCCCTTCTCCGTAGTACCCTAATAGAGAAAGAGATGGACAGCATGGCCACTTGAGTGAGGAAGAGGCAGGAGGTCAAAACGGAAAACAACAAAGTGCTTTTGCCGCCAGACCTGTGCTTATGCTGTGTTGTGGGACACGACCCCATCCACAGAGAAGTATCCTGACCCTGCGCTGAATTCCCATTGACCTCCATGCAGGAGGAACTATGGAGGATCATGGCCTGGGAGAGATGCAACGAAACGTTTGCTTTGTTGTATTAGTTTATGAAGCTCCTGTTGCTGTAGCAGCTCAGGGCTTATTTGTAAATAACTATGGCTTGCAGAGTGCCACAAAGCTGTGCGGATGAGGATTTTGGCAAATCCCCAAGGAAATTGGGTTCTAGAGGTAGAGGCCATCGACTGAGAGCGCCCAATTTATGAGCCAGTCCAGAAAAATTTTACCCAGGGGATGAACAACAACGGCCTCCCAGTTGATCTTAACTTGCTCCGTCAGGCCCCATATTCAGCATGGTCAGTCTTTGGAGATAGACCAGTCTTTGTATTTGGGGGATATATGGTCCATGTCAAAGCACAGGACAAGAAGCGCTATTCCTGGCTGTACCATGGACTCATTGTTAGCCACGAATTTTCAAAAGTGGCCATGACATCTGGTGCCTTAGTATTTGGGTATCCAACCTGAGACACCAGGGGCTGGTTTTCAGAGTTGCTTAGATCCTGCAGCTGCTGTTGACTTCAGTATAAGTTGAAGATGTCCTGCCCCTCTGAGAAGGACCAGACCCTAGATCTATTGCTGCCGTCAGTTCCTGTATGCTTTCTATTATGTAACTAGGTTTTTTTGGGTGACATACAGAGCTGGGTGGAAAATGGTTTTCCGATCCCTGGAAGATTTTTGATATTTTATCCTGTCCTAGGATGAAAAATCAAAATCTTGAAAATTTTTGCAAATGAAAAAATTAACAAGACCTCCAGTTCCGGTCAATCCAAACATTTGGTTTCGACCTTTTTAAAATGTGTTTTACATTGAACTATGAATTAACTTAAATTTTGAAACAAAAAGTCATTTTGGACCAAACGAGGGAAACTTTGAAAAGGTCAAAACCGGCTTTAGTGATGTGAATGGTGCCGGGCAGAGCGGGATAGCTACTTGTACGATATGGGGAACCAGCTCTCTTTTCTGATGGCCAAGACAACCAGTTGCTCATGGGCAACGGGTATCAGAGGCCGGGGGAGGCTGAGCTCCCCAACCAGCCTTGTGTGGTCCTGCCCACGCTCTGTCCCCAGGCTCCCCCCTGCTTCCCAGAGCTCTGCACTCTTCCCCCGTGGCCTGGGCCCCGGGCTGGGGCTAATGGGGGCCGGCCTGTGGCCAACGACTCTGGGCGGCTGGAGCCGGTGCACATGCTTGCCCGCCCGCCCAGCGCTCCGGGGTTGGGGTCGCTGGGGGCTGCACCGCCTGCCCAGTGCTGGGGGGCTTTGTGCTCCGGCAGGGGAAGCGGGAGAGGAGGGATGGGGCCTTGGGCACAAGGGGTGGGCCGGAGCTAGCCTCCCTGAGCCTGTGGTTCACCCGCCGCCCATGCAGTTGCTACATCTCTTCCAGCCCTATCATCACAAGAAGCAACATTTTATAAGAAAGGCCAACAGGCCAGTGCATTTCTGAGGCACTATGGTCTTCCTAAACCTCACCTCCATGTGTCACCACTTTCATGTAGGGTTTGATCATCTGCAGATCAATGCGGTGTTCCTGCTCCCCAATGATAACCGTCCTCCATAGTCTCCCATTGGTAGCGCTGCCGTCTTCCACCACCCCATCCCCAAAGAGGTCTGCGCTGTTCCCGGGCATGTTCTTGGCTGTGGCCACAGGTGTGTCATCTGGAAGAGGGAAAGTGAAAACGCTGGTGAGCTTCTCCTGGAGACTGGACAGAGGTCTAAGATGCTTATCTAGGCAGCACTGTAACGAAGGGCTGGTCTACACTGAAAACTTATATCGGCATAGCTATGTCTCTCCGGGTGTGAAAAATCCCCCCCTCCCCATAGCAACACAGTTCAGACAGTTCAGACGACATCCAGATTCAGAATGCATGCATTAAGAATACAAGCTGGAGCCCTGCAGGACAATGAGAGACTGTGACAACCACAAACGGAGAGCCTGTCACCTCAGGATGGGATGCAGAGATATTAATTTCTAGACACCATTAATGACGACCAACTGAAGCAGCTAAGCCTGGAACCCACAACGGGAGAGGCAATTCTTGCTTTAGTCCTAAGTGATGCACAGGATCTGCTCCAAGAGGTGACCATAGCTGAACCCGTCAGTAATAGCGACGATGATGTAATTCAATTTAACATCCTGGTAGCTCCATTGACTTCACCGGAGCGCTGACAATTGACTACAGCTGAGGCGGTGCCATACCGTCAGCCCTGAACGTACTGAGGGCAAACGCTATACAATGGAGCTACATGTCACAGCCAGGGCCACCGAGAGCGGGTTCGGGCCCCGGTGAAAAATTTTTTCGGGCCCCCCAGCAAGGGCGGACGGGCTAAACAGGGCCGACAAGGACCGGGGGGGGGGGGAAAGCCGGGGAAGTCGGGCCCCCGTT